AGCAAATTAACCTGCACACCACTCAAGGTAACTGGACAGTGCGGACATTTAGACGCTTTGGAATGCACTTGGAAATACCACTACCCTCAAAAGCCATTGATACTGCACTACAATTAACCACCTATCCTGAACTGCACTGAGGTGTCATTCCCAAAATAGCCACAAGACGGCAGCAGAGACCACCACTTGGAACTTAGGTCCCACAAATGGCTCAGCTGAAAGGTTCCTTTCACTTTTTACTGTGAGACGCGATGAAAGGCACACTTTTCATTTTCCTCAAACACGGTGACTGCACAAGGTCGTCACTATTCTGTTCCACTGTCTTCTGCCACCTTTCAGGTAATTTCACCATTCCATGGTCCCTCGAAAAGACAACTTTGTTATCTTTTGGAGCAGAGAGCTCTTCCAGGTGGCTTCTGCAGTCTTCCAGGGATGGAAATTTCTCTCTAATAAGAGAAATTTAGAAAGACCTAAGTAATTGGCCATGTGAAGGTGCAAGGCCTGGTGAGCACTGTGCATGAATCAGGACTGTGCAGTCAGGCTGGAACTTTTTTTCACTGGTCACCAAAGACAAACATGCATTCTCACTTTATCATGAAGCTTCTACTGACAAATTCCAGACTCATTCCCTCAGGCAGTGCTTTCAGTTGGTCTGACCTGGAGCAGTGCTTGTTGCAAGTCACCTGCTGGCTTTCTACAAGGAACTCCTTCTGCAGGACCCCCTCCAGAAACCACCACGAGGGTAGTAACATCACCTCTCTCGGATGAAGACCACCCTTTGGAGGGGCCTGGTGTTGGTTCCTTAGCTGACCCTCAATCTCTCCCACTCCACGTTATTCTAACACATAAACCATTCATCACCCCTCACAATTTATTCTGGAAACACAATGTTTTCCTTACATTTCAGTAGAGAACCACATGTGGATATGTGTTCAAGATGGGTCCCCTCCTTGTACCACCTACTTTCTGTGGAACCCAGACATCAGGATGACTAATCTAACTGTGCTGGTGCAAATACTTTTCAGTGCTTGATCAGGATACTTTGAGTATGTTGCCTGTCTCCAGCGAGCCACACCACGGTCTGTCTTCAGTAAACATGTGCCCTGGACGGCTTTGCACTACAACTGGTCTGCCAGACCCGTGGGACAACTGCACGCCAGAAATCTCTGGAGTGAAACTTGAAAATACACTTGTGACACGTTCCATCACTCAGAGCGATGCCTCCAAACACACCCCAAAAATCTTTCTTTGCCTTACACTTCCACTTGGAACATTCTCTGGGAAGGACCAGGGATGAGAAGCTGCTACTGTCTCCGACTCTCACCGTCCCTCCTCCGAGGGGCGACTGCCTCCGGGCATTTTGCTCACCATCACGCCTCCCAGAGTCCCACGAGGGAGACGTGGGCAGGACAGGGGACAGCCCAGAGGCAGAGGGTCCGAGTCCCCCCTTGTGAGGGGTCTCGGAGCGCAGAGCAGAGCACTCACATGGCTTCCAAACGGAGTTTCCAGGCACAGTGGGTCCCGACCCCACACAGGGCCGCCTGCCAGCCCAGACCACCTTCCGTGGCAGGTTTCTTCACCCAGGCCCTGGTCTCGTGTTCTGGATATGAGCGATCTCTCCACACATGACCGTAACTCGGTCTCTGAAATCACGTTTCCTGACCCCTGGCACCTTCCAGGGCACCTCCAGGCACAGGCTGCAGGGGGAAGCAGCTCGCTTGGCGGAGGCCTGGCAGAAAGACGCGGCGGGGAGCAGACGCACTCCGTCCGAAGCTCCCGGCCTGGATGGAGTTTTGAAGGGAGCTCAGATGGAACAGGGTTGGCCAGTGCCCAGAAGTGTCCACAGCAGCAATTCGCTAATAAGTATCCGTTGCTTAAAATGGGCGCAGCAGGGAAAAGTGGGGGAAAAATTAGGACAAAGTGAAGTGAAGAGAGGTGAGGCGGAAATGAGAGGAACACTGTACTTTCAACACCCCAGGGAGCCCCTCTGGTGCGCACAGCTCACTGGGTCTAAGGGCTCGGTGACACCAGAGGGACTGGGGCTGGGCGCCCCGCCACCGCATGGTCCGGGACCTCCGCCCGCCGCCCCTCTGAGCCCTCGTCCGGTCCCCTTTCCAGGTGGGAAGCACGGTTTTCTTCAGGTGCAGGAAAGGCTACCACGTCCAGGGCTCCACCACACGCACCTGCCTGGCCAACCTGACGTGGAGCGGGACCCAGACAGAGTGCATCCGTGAGTGAGCCCTTCCGCGCGGCCGCGCCCCCGGTGTCCCCCAGGGTCCGGGGAGGGCTTCCCTTCAAGGGAGGTAATGGGAGGCTGGCCTGGTTTTTTTTTTTTTTTGATTGATGGTTTTTTAGTTCCCTAAACTAGTGTCTCTCAAAGTTGGACTCCCTAGAACGAGCAGCATCAGCGTCCCCTGGGGGTTTAGTGGACACGGGGGTGGGGGAGGTGGTTCTTCGCCTCTGGTCCACACTCGCCAATCAGAAACCCCGGGACAGGGCAGGCCCGGCGAGGAGGGACAGTGTCTGGCCTACCTGGCGCTCCAGGTGATTCGGGGTCCCCGCGAGCCTGAGAAGGCCCCCTAACCCTTCACCACAGTGCAGGGCAGTGTAGTGGCATCACAGGGAGGAAGCCGCCATCCTTCTAACGCATCCCCATCTGACTGCCAGAGAGGGCCAAGTGGCTGAGGCGAGGGGTCCGGGGGTCAGCAAGAATGTTGGAAATGACCGACTGTCCCCACGGCTCCTCAGGATCCGAGTTTATGTCCTGACTAAGCTGTGAGCATTCGGAGACGCATCCACCCTGCTGGGTGGACGGTTAGCGAGTCAGCGTCCACCCCCACCTCCTTGGCATCTCTCTCTCAGTGGTGAACATCGTAAGAGCAGAATGTTGTAAAAATTACCCCCATAGTAGATAAGATACGATATTTGTGTGTATTTATCAGTATTGGGTGATACGCATTTATTTCAAAGCTATCAACTCGACCCTCAATCACTACTCAAATTATGTATATGGGTGTTAACACACACACACAGACACACGCTTGTGCTCACACCTGTGCGTGGGCAGCCTCCTGATACCGGGTCTGCATGGCACTGACATTTGCCGAAGTCCAGACTATGACGATGCTTCCAACAGCTGCGTTCACAATTGTAACGTCATAAACTTGTTCCGTAACAATCTGCCCGGCCCTGACTTGGGGCGTGTGTGTCAGTGGATAAACTTCAGGAAGGACGTGAAGTTACTCGACACTGAACATTGAAATCTTGCTGATTCCTAAATTATATCTGGAAAGGGAACGAGACTCTCTAGTAACTCAATCACTAGACACGCACCACATGTTCGCCAAAATTAATTATTCATTTAACTGAGTAGTCGATGCACTTATGGGCCTTGAGACCAAAATCAAGGCACATTTCTACCCATGTGCCAGTCTGTGTTCGTTCAGTTTGTAGGACTGGCCGTCTGAGGAAATCCGACGTGTTACTGATCTCACTGGTATGTCCCAAACAGTCTATGTTATTTCAAAGCTGTGATTTCTATTCTAAATATGCATACACACAGGTGGGCCAACGTCGGCTGGGAGAAATTCATATGGGAAGTAATACAATAACTATGAAATAATAGTTCAGGAATAAGTTCTGTGTTTTGCATACTCATAACTGTAAGCTACTTTTGCGTGTGTGCGTATATACGGGGATAGAGGGAGAGAGAGCAGCAGAGAGGAGGGAGGGAGGGGACAGACACCAGCTCTCCCTGGTGCTGAAAGGTGCAGAGGGAGGGGGCATGGGTACCGGTGATAATTCAGTTGATACTGTGTTCACACTTCCGAAATACAGACTAAGTGTAAAGCCTTTCCAGAGTGTCGCCCTCTTTCTTCATGTCTTCATGGGTTAAGTGCACAGTAAACCGGGTTTCTGCGTCCCCTAACGGGATGAATGCTGTTGCAGCTCACGCCTGCGGACAGCCAGAGACGCTGGCCCACGCGGACGTCCGGGCCATCGACCTGCCCACCTTCGATACACCTTGGTGTACACCTGCCACCCCGGGTTCTTCCTGGCCAGGGGGTCTGAGCACCGCACCTGCAAAGCGGACATGAAGTGGACGGGGAAGTCGCCTGTCTGTAAAAGTAAGTTGCCCACGAGCCTGCCTCGCAGAGCCGAGAGGAGGCCCGCCACCCACCAGGCTGGGGTGCCGGCGGGAGACCCCCACACGAACAGCTTTGTGGGCACCCAACTTTGTCCGTGCTTCCTGTGTGTGTGCACATGTGTGCGGTACGTGTCTGGCACTGTGGAGGCGTGGGCGAAGGAGAGATGCAGGCGCTACCGTGTGCTAGTCATGTTTTAACCCAGAGAGAAAAGCTGTCTGGTTGAAGAAAACCAGTATGCGTTCAAAGAAAACAGCATACATTTTGGAAAAACTTATCTTTTAATGAAAACGGACAAGTATCGCCACGTATGGGTGCACAGTGAATTAAACTGTCGTTTTTAAGACCACAAACTGTGAGGTGGTGGAATCAAAGCTTACGTGTCCTTGACACTGGTTCTGGTTTTTAAAATTGCAAAAACAATGAACAGGAACATGATGCGTCCGTGACTCCCAAATTTGTGCACTTACGAACGAGAGGAGTAATCCTGGCCCAGACTTGGTGGTGGCCGCTCTCCCAGGCCCCTTCCCCAAACTTAGATTCTGCACACACACTGGGCACAGAACCCCATCAGTAAAGGTCGTGTGTGTGTACGATCGACCCCACGACTTTAGCTTTGGTTCCTGGAGCTCATTCATAGTTCCATTCTTCACCCTTACGTTCATTGCCCTCGCCCTTCTCCAACCAGAAATCGAAGTAAATAGACTGAAAAAAATTATAATCTGTACTTTGATACAGAACTAGAAAAGCTAAGAAATCATGAGTTAAGTTTAACTCGATAGACCAAATTAAATGTTCTGCAAGAGACACGATTTGGCATTATTCAGTATTAACTTATAAGAGCATCGACCTGGGCAGGGACTTGTCGAGTTATGGCAAGTTCTGGAATCTGAGTTAGTTCATCACCTTTCGGTCGGGGGCAGCATGTCCCACGTAGGAGTCAGAAACGGACCTCAGAAACCCTGCTTTGCAAGGCTCTCTGTTGTAGACACTGAGTGGAAGGAGACGCGTAGGGTGGACTCACTGATGCTTCCCCTGGAAGCTTTTCCCACCATCGCAAGGGATGTCTTCCGGGCATTCAGGGGTTAGAATGGATGGGGATGAGACGTGCCTCTCCTGGACACTTGAGGAATCTGGAGAAGGGAAAACTGCTTCAATCTGACATTTTTTTCAAACTGATTCCAAAATACCTGTTTTTGAAAATGACAATTTTTCTTTTTACTTGTAGGTAAAGGAGTGAGAGAAGTTAATGAGACAGTTACTAAAACTCCAGGTTTGTATACCAGACCAGCTACAGATTTCAATCAAGGGCCGTGATTGGTCCTCTACTCTGGGCAGCGAGACAAATTTGGGTGTGCAAGTCTCCGACCCCACTAGTCCCCGACCGAGCGGGCACGTCGGTGACCGAGATCGCCAAGGCCACGCAGCAAATTCCTAGCGCTTTCTCGACCGCAGTTGCTTAACGCAATAGCGGTACTTAGGAGGGGGAGCTCCCGGCGTGATCTCACACTGTGCCACCAAAGGTGCCGCGGGCACTGGGTGGCAGGTGGGGGCCAGAGTTGCCGACAGAAAGTGATATAATGGAGAGCCTTATAAAGAGGGTTAAGGTCCTCTCCTCCCCTTGAGGAAGCAGACCTGGGTGAGGCCTTTGACCCCAAGTCAAGCAGCTCAAACATGAGCCCGCTCTCACCACGGGTCCCCAAGCTGCAGGCAGCCTCTGCCCCCGAGACATGAACTAGCACGGCTTGCTGCGTGTGGCGCCTGGCTAAACGCACGATGGAGCAAATCAAAAAGACACAGCCCTGCCTCTCAAGGAAGTTATTTGTTATCACTCCCAATCAACCACCCTGACTTACACATGGCATTAACTCCAGACAGCGTTTAAATGATACAGTGCTCCCCAGGTCATCACTTAAGTCAAGCTTTTTTCAAACAGCAATAGAAAATCTTGGTAAATATACAAGGCCACTTCCCTGGATTTCCCACACTTGGGTTTTAACACTGGTTTCTTGGGCTTAAGGATCTATTATCACGTCAACTGTGCAGGGTGTGAAAAATGCTCTTGCTGGGTCACACTTGAAAATCCTCAGAGGAGGCCAAAGGTCACTGTGTGGTTACAGGAACTGCTACAAGTGCATCACGGAAACCCAAATTCCCAGGCTCTTCCGTGTAGCTGTTATTTACAAGTTGAACGCTGAGTGAAATCAGCACTCCCTCCCCAGGCTGCACTGTCCCCCTCGGAAGGAAGGAAGGAAGTGTCGGTGGTGGTGGTGGTGGCTGAGGCGTGTGTCCCCCTCCTGTGTGCTTACGTTCTGTTTGAGAGACCGAAACAGTGTATCCACTCTGTGTGCTTTCTGAGGCGCACGCGTGGCCACTGGTAGACCCCATCTCCTCTTGGGAGGGGCGTGCATGCGTGTTAAATACGGCTCTGATCAGTGTGGCACGCTCTGACACGCCCGCTCTCTGGTGGCCGCACCACTGCACACTACCAGCTGACAGTCCGATGACAAGGACCCAGAACGACCCATCAGCTCCTCACGGTCACGTGCGAACAAGAACGGGCCACTTCCTAGGCCCCCACCAAGAGTCCCTTCAGTGAAGCCCCCGCAAGCACATTAGAAGCCCCACCCAGTGGGTAAATTCTGAGTAGGGGAAATCAAGCCGCCTCGACAGTATTTTAAAGGCTGCTCATCTTGGTAAGGGAAGCCGCGAGGGGCTTGCCGGTGAAGACCCGGCGGCCATGAGGCTGGCAGACAGCGGCCGTGTTTAATGTCAGTTCTCAACCAGCAAACGCATGGGACCCCGGCGTTGATATCTCCGTGTTACTCTTATTTCATTTCTTGAATTGTTGTGATTCGGGAGTCGGGTCCACTCAGAACAGCAGGGAGTGACGACGTTCCCTCCGTCTTCGACTCCCCCGCTGCCAGGCTGTGTCCTGCGGGTCAGCCTGTCGGGGAAGGCAGGGAATCGGCCAAGCGGACCTTTGGATGAGGGGCCACGGCCACAGGTGTGTCCCGGCATCAGCTGCTCTAAGTGGGTCTGCAAAAAAGTGCTTTTTGGGAGAAACAAATCTTTCATTCCACCCCCGAGTCGAGCAGTGTGTTTCCTCCGATGCCACTTGTGGGGGCTCCTGTCCCACTGTCCCACGTGGTCCCTGCCTGGGGCCCATCCGAGGGACAAGCAGTGAGGCCCCTTCCCCGGTGCACCCCCGGCCAAGGCCGTGAGATGGGCGGCGGTTCAGGCGCGTGGGCCAGCAGAGGTGTGGGAAATGGGTTTAATTTTCAGTCAGTGAACAACCAGAGAGAACGTCTCAGCAGTCTCTGTGAGTTATCCTGTCCCAGGTGGACTTTAATGTCTTACACAGACTGCCTGCCGTTTCTTTCTGAATTCACCCACACCCGCGACGTGGGCCACCCTTCCATCCGTCTGTCTTCCCTGTGGTGGGGCGTCTCCACGGGGACAGGGCAGGGGGAGACGGTTTGGCCCGCGGAACGCAGCAGGCTGTCTCTGTGAGCGGCGTGGCCAGCCCACACGGGGCCGGGCCGAGCAGGCTGCGTGAGGGCGGGACGTTCCTGACACAGGTCCCACGTCTGTCCCCCGAGCCTCTGTCTTTCAAAGCGAGTGTCACTGACGCGTCAGCAGCGATTTTCTGGGGCCGTTTGCCATGCGTCTCATTAAGCACAACCCAGCCTAACCTGGTGTCGGTGGTCCCGGCCCCACATACGCTCCAGCCACACAGGTCTGCTTTGCATCTGCACTCTGTCTCCCCCAAACTGACAAACGTGTGTCCGCCCCTCGAGGGAGCCCCTGGGGGTGCACTTGAGCTCCACACGCCGTGAGGGGCCTGCGTGTGGTCCGTCACCATCGTCCTTGTCACTGTGCTCGTGTCTGGCATCTCCCCGAGCGAGTCCGCCTTCTCTGTTGTGAAAGACCCACGTAGCTCGGTTCCACGTGGGCTGATCTGTGCCTGTGTCTCCTCCCTCGCAGTTCCTCCCGACGTGTTTTTCGTCAGCTCCGTGTGGCAGGGCCATTACGAGTATTTGGGGAAGACACAGCTGGCGACGCTGACGGTGGACGGCTTCAACGCCACCAGCCGCAAGGTGAACGCCACCTTCCGTGCCGCCGGCCAGGTGGAGCTGAAGCTGACAGGTAGGCCCGGGTTGTCCTAAGCGGGGGACCTGGGCGGGCAGCCGCTCTGGGCGTGGGGGTCACCCTGCCCCAGAGCCCGTCCCGCCACGCCACGTCACCTCGGGCCCAGGCCGGGCGCTTTCCTCCTTTTCCGGCTCACAGACCAGCACAGAAAAGTGCACCAACGTGCTCAAGGTTCTGTGCACAGCATATTGAGTCAAAGATGGGGGATTTAGTCCAGAGAGGCAGGCCTCTCAGAGGGATTCTTTGATAAGTGGGGTTTTTTCTTTTTAACCCAAATCTTAACTCTAACCCTAGATATTCTCTCTTTTTTAAATGTGTTTGCTCCTGGTTTTGTGGTGTTTTAGTTTTTGAGGGTTTTCTGGGGGATCATCCCCCAGTTGATAAAATAACGACAGCTTAGACTTGCCGGCCAAAGGTCGTTCCCTCCACCTGCAGCGCACAGAGTGGGTCGGAGTTTGAGAGGTTCCAGAGACGTAGCCCCCGAGGGTGGGAGGGGACCCTCGGCCACAGGCAGGCCCTCGGGCGTCCTTGTCATCTGGGACTTCGGTGGTGGCTCCCCACGGTCCCTGTGCCCAGGGCAGCTGGGAGGTGAGAGCGCTGCTTCTCTCATTTCCGTGGGAGATTGCGCTGCTGTGCACTCCAAGACAGCAGGGCTGCCCCTCGTCCTGCCTTCTCCACACAGAGGAGACAGGCTCACCAGTGTGTGTTTCGGTGCCTTCGTCCCCTCCCGCAGGCAGGGGACTCGAGGCATTGCCGACAGGTCCCGTGCGTGCCGACCACCGCACATCTGAGTGAGGAGAGTGGGGGACAGTCCCTCCGCCTCCCGAGGAGCCGGGCAGTGTGACTGTGGAGTCACCTCGAGCCTGAGAGCATCCGGGCCACCGGGGCGTGTCCGTCACCCCCTGGCCCCCACACTGCTCTCTCCACCCTAATGGGTGAATCGCCCCTTTGTGCACAGCTGTCTGTGGGGCTACGGCTGTGGGGTGGGGGCCAGACTCCCGGCCCCTTGTCAGCACATTGTAAACAAAAAAATGTTGGATTTCAAACATGAATATAATTGAAAGCATGTTAGTTTTGTTTTGTTTTCCGTGGGATAAACAGGTGGAAACGTTTCACCAGAGTGAAGCGGACGATGCCCAGTCGAGAGAGACAAGGACTTTCGTTAGAGGTGATTTTGAGGAAAGAGGTACCAGAGCTCAAATTTGAAAACATAATAACAATCTTTCTTCTCTGTGGTATTACCACCTCCAGGCCGTATTCCCAGCCAATGGCTGCACGCCCGTGCCGGTGGGCCCGTGAGTCCCAGTCATGCAGGGGCACCGCCCTGGTCTCTTCGCAGGCGTGTACAAGAAGGAGGAGGCCCACCTGCTTCTGAGAGCCGTTCGCACGCACGGCCCGGCGGACGTCTTTGTGGGCAAGCTGGATGACGGCACCTGGGGCCTGGACGGCTACGTAAGTGCCTGGGCGACGGCTGAGCTCCGCCGGATGGGCCCCGGGGTGCGGGCAGCAGGGGGCGTCCATGAGTCGAGGGGGAATGGCCGGTGCTTGGAGGGATGCTGTGGTCCCCCTGCAAAGTGACTTGGCTCTGGTACCCCTCATCTGAGCACAGAAGAAACCGAGTCCCCAAATGAGATGCCTACGGGCCGAGGCAAATGGGCTGTCCCTGCCGGGTCACAGCCAGGTGTGGACTCCGGTCCCGAGGCCGCTGACAGCCACTCCGAACGTCCCAGACTGCCACTCCCAGATGAGCAGGGACAGTTAGGACGCCCCCTTGAAGGGGCTTCTCTGCACCTTGAGCATGTGTTTGCTCTGTGATTCATCCCCCGACCCATGGGCACAGCCTTACATGACGCGTGTCAGCCAAGGCGGTGACACAGGGTGTTTTGCATAACTCGGGTTGTGTGTGGTTTCCTATCTTCATCCCTTTCATCGAAGGCAGCTCATCCACACGCGTGTTGTAAATTTACAAGCCACTTTTGAG